CCCCCACCCCACCCCACGCAGCACGATTTTATGTATAGGTGCATAAAATTACCGTTAAAAAAGGCATTGTTTCCATACTGATTGCAGCAAAAATAAGAAGACTAATCATTGCTTCACGCGAAACAACTAGGTACAACCGATAATCACGAACGCTGATTATGTCTTCTTTTGGCGGCTTAAGGAATCGACCGATGCATCTCAATAATGGAATAGCAATCAGACTTTTTTTCTCGTTTAAAGGTAAAGATAAATTATTGGCCAATCTCTTTCGTCAATGAACTTACGAGGTGCTGAGGATCGGTCCTATTTTTGGACTGCACTTAATAGTATCGTGAACTTCCGAATGTACTTTGTACTTATCCTCATTACATCTTCACCTTTAACTACTAATGTGTGATCTGGCAGGCTGCTCGGTCTTTGAGAAACTATAGTTGAAGAAACCACGTCAGCAGTTAAGGGATAATAACATTAAATGGACAAGCTAAAAATATTAAATGTACTACAAACAAATACGTTATCTTTCAGTCGTTTACGGAAGTGTCATAACCTGCGCATACGAATGGTAATTTTTTGCAAGATATGTTAGAAAACCATTGTGCTATAAGTCATAGAATAAAAATGTTTCGAACAATATCAAATTGCATTCGATCTTGGTAAAGTAGCAGGAAATTCGATTAAGTATCGCGAGGAGATGAAAGTACTTTTGTTTCAGGGATTAACGACGAGAAACCGAGTATGACAATATACGCAAATTAAAATGCATAATATCGCATTATAAATGATAATGGGAAGTTATAAGATACTGCAGAAATAGCTTACCACAGCCGGGAGATCGTCCCACTTCGCCGATTGAGACCAAATAAACTGCGTTGTAGTCTGATTGGGAATTTCGATATCAGGATAAGGACTTCTGTGTATTGTCGTAGAACAGCTTCTAACATTGGTGTGGGCAAGGTGCTTTAACGACGTCCTTAGGTTTCGCGCGAATATCGTATATAGTAACGTCATTGTCGCGAACACGAATTGCGGAAAATTCACGATAACACGAGGAAAGGCGACTGTTCAGACTCTGGAGAAACCTTAAGATGTTCGCTAATTTTGTCAAAGTTCTCTTAAGGGGAAGGAATCCAGCCGGCCGGTAACTTGGAATTAGCTTCTCCTCCTGGTACTCGTAAGAGAATGAACTAACGATTGACGACTGACGGTTTTACTTTTTTCTTGAGTTTATCTGCAAAAAGCTTTGCTTTGTGACGAGTTTGAACTGACTGATTCTACATTGAATGTGTTATAATAATTTTCATGAGGAACAATATATATATATATATATATATATATATATACACACACACACACATAATTGGAATATGACATATGTAGGGACTATCGCGATACGTATAAGCTTTTTTCAATGTATATTTTGATATGTTACTGTGAGCTCTTCGGAGTTTTTATATTTATTGTGAAAGTCTAAAGTTCAGTGGCAATATGCACGCTTATCAACAGATTAGCGCAATGATGGTTACGAAAGGTATCGGTTAAAAGCATCCTACTTATATGATCTGTCACTATAAATATTTATTTTAGCGTAACACATCTCCTCAACCTGCAGCAAATCTTTAATTAATGACTTATAATTATCTCTGTGATCAATGCACTGTATTTAAGCGAACGTTTGGTGTTTGACTAGCTTTCGAAAAACACCGTCTTCCCGTGCCATAAGCTCGTCGTACGTTCCCGTTTCAACAATTTGACCACACTCCAGTACAGCGATTTTATCTGCGTTCCTTATCGTGCTCAGTCTATGAGCAATAGTCAATACGGTCTTACCGTGGGTGGCTCTCTCTAAAGCTTCCTGTACGAGACTCTCATTCTCGGCGTCCAGAGCACTCGTTGCTTCGTCCAATATCAGGATTTTCGGCTTCTGTGGAAGTAACAGCAAGTTCACTCTGTTTCTTTATATCTCTCTCTCCCTTCCGTTATTAATGCTTTTATGTTTTATACGTGCAGCGGATATAATATATTTCATAATTAACATTAGACAAAACTACTTTACTTTTATCAGCGCTCGTGCAATGGCTACCCTCTGCCTTTGACCACCGCTCAACGTTATTCCTCGTTCACCTACAATTGTATCGAGGCCGGCTCTCATGTGTTCTGTAAATTTCAAAACATTTGCTTCTTTTGCAGCACACTCGATCTCTGCTTCCGTAACGTTTTCTGTTCCATAACATATATTTTCTCGTATCGAACCAGAGAATAATGTGGGCTCCTGCGAGACAATGCCTATTTGTAATTTGACCCATGCGGGATCAAGTGTTTTTAAATCGTGATCATCCAATAAAATTGATCCTTCGTTCGGATCGTAGAGCCTTAGGAGTAAATGGGCGATCGTCGATTTCCCAGATCCTGATGGTCCCACAACGGCAGTAGTCGAACATTTTGAAATATGTAAATTAAAGTTTCTTAGAACCCATGTCTCTTCCCTCGTTGGATACGAGAAGTCAATGTTCCGAAAGACAATTTCCCCGGTAAGCTCTCTTTGGAGTATTTGTCCACCCTTTATGGAAATTTTCGGGTGACGATCTATTAACTCAAAAAGTCTTGTACTCGCACCAAGAGCTTTGTTGAATTCTGAATAAAAACTTGATAAACCATTTAATGATATACCCACGTAAGCAGCATAAAGTAAAAATGAACTGAGGTTACCGACACTTAAGGCAGCATCTGAAACCATCACACCACCATAGTATAGAACTGAGAGTATAATGGCATTTCCTGAAAGACCGGTAAATCCAAAAAAGAGAGCTCGATATAAACTTTCTTTATAGCATACTGCTAATAATCCTTCTAATTTTTTGCTATATACTTTGACTTCCCTTTCTTCTTGTCCAAAGGCTTTTACAGTTCGTATGTTACTGATTCTCTCCTCAGCAATGGCGTTTAGCTCTGCTTGACTATCCTGAACATTCTTTGATATCTTTTTTACAAGACGACCATAAAGAATAGCTATTCCAGCAACTGGCGGTACTATTGATAGACCTACTAATGCCAATTGTGGTGATACATAAAACATCATGAAAATCCCAGCTCCTGTCATGATGGCAGAACGTAATCCATCAGATATATTACTTGTGACAGCTGAACTTACAAGCTGAGCATCTCCTGAAAGTGATATTAATTTTATCAATATGCATTCGCCTACAAGACCAGACATTGACAACTCATAACTACAACAAGATGTAACTAACAACATTTTTTGATGGTACATTTTATCTGCTATTGACTATAAGTGAATTTGTAAAAAAAAAGTGTGTGCAGGCTAATAGTACATAAAATAATATATATTATATTATTTACCAGTCAGTCTTCCCACAAGCTCTCCTGTACTTTTTTTATCAAACATTGCTGTTTCTTGACTTAGTATTGCAGCATATACTTCCCTTCTCAACGATTGTGTAATCCTGTATGCCGATGTGGACATGAAGTAAATACGACCAAAGTTGCATACACCCCCAAGGAGGAATATAGCAATAAAAACAATGCATAACTTATTCAAGTTTTTTTGCATTTGTTCTTTATCCAATGTATATATAACATCAATGATTCTTCCCAGACAAAATGGAACTGCCATAGTCACGACAGAGGATACAGCTAGGAAAGCTATAGCCCCAGAAAGTCTCCATTTTTCAGGGGCTGCCAATAGCATGAGTCTTTTGAATTCTGACTTTTTCGAGCGTTGCTTAAAGGTGCTACTTATTGATGTTTTCGTAAAATTTCTCTTTAGAGTATTAGTCGTCCCGTACCTTAGTACTGTAACACAGTACTTCCGTCTTGTAAAAGTTCCAATAGAAAAAAAACATCCATGAAAGTTGCACCTGTGCGGCAGTTGAATTGCTAGTTGTCTCGATTTTCGTAAAAAGTCGTTACCCGTTGCTAACTTATGTAGGAAACTCATTTTTAAAGTCCGAAACTCGGGAGTGCAATGTATGCCGTCTATACATATACTTGTAATGGAAAAATTAGGAATACCAATGGTTTCGTCGAGTCTCATCTAATCTACTCGATGAGAAATATATATATGACAATCTTCAAAGTGTTCGTCTGCTCGGCAGCTATCATCAGCTGCCATTAAGATGGTACGGATAGACAGGAGTCTCTCGAATCAACACATTTATTACACGTATCACACCCCCGTGAAACACTTGCAACCACTGGACACACATAGAGGCTAATAGAGGCGTAGAGGGATTTGAAAGAATCGTTGGTAAGAGTGGTACGAGAGAAGTAACTGCCAGCTTCGGTCAGCTCCTCAATTATTTTAGCTTCGCGATAATTGCAGTGCCCAATATGACCGATGATGACCGAACATAACGTGCATACTGAATATAACGTAACACAACATTGCAAAAGCAAATAAAAAATGGACATATAACGAGAACGGCAAGTAATGTACCCTACACAGGTTAATCATTTTTCTTCCGCCTGGCACGAAAATTTATAACTAGGGATATAGTTGTGGAAGTAATGTTTGCATGATCTAATTTCTGCGAACCGTGAGAAATTCTGAAAGATTATCATTCTGCAAGGTTTTTGCGATCTTAATCCATCGAGTTCCTCGTTTTGTGGCTGAGTTGTTAACTGACTACATACTTACTGATGTAGACGTACGTAAAGTCAAGTTTCATGAAACGACAGTGAACTAGTCAACACTGATTGAAACATTTTCACGGGGGTGGACGAAACTGTTAAAAAAATATATGGAATTCGACAGAGCCTGACGTTTCTTTACTGAATTCAGTCAGTCCAGCTGAATCTCTTACAAGGATGAAAGATTGCCAATAATATTCTGTCTCTCATGTTCGGATCAAACCTAACTGACCGAACAATCAGGTGTCAGATGGTGTCAGTAGCCGTCCGAACTAAAACCCGAAAACAGAGTAATAATAAAAAGAAGGAGAGGATTGGTTGACGAAGGAGGAGTAATTACGACGGGTCACGAGGGTGTGTGTGTGTACGAGAGAGAAAGAGATCGGCAGTGAGAGAGAGAACACCAGCGCTAAAGCTTTATCTTTATTATGCGCCGCTGAGTGAATTGTCAAGCGAAATCAGAAATGGCTGCCAACGAGCAACAGCAGAAGGTGAGTATCGCCAAGTGCTCAATGTCTTACTAGTGATAACATTGATATTTCGTATCAGGGAAATCTGTTTAAAATTTACCAGTATAGGAAATAATGAATTCCATTTCGATTACCGTGAATGAGCCATCTTATGATATTTGTTTTGTGTGAGAATCAAGACGGAATTTGGATCCGTCTGTCTGACGTTGACAAATCGTACGCTCGTTTCCCAGCCTTGAGGCAAAGAGTTACGATTTTTGACAGTAGGCAAAGCTTGTTTTGTTGCAAATGATACTTCGATTTACGCACGCGAGTTTTCGACTGGTACACTTCATTGTCATGATCTTTTTCCGTGGATACTTGGACAAAATTTCGTAATGTCACAAGAAAACGGTCCTTTTTCGCCAGTCTGACAATATTTACACCAGGGCTAGCAGCTGTCAGTTTGCTATCTGTCGATTACCCTTAGTCATACTAGTTGCATTGATATTCTTCTTTTTAGTCACATTCCTTTTTTGATACTTTATTGTTAGACTGGATTCTTGAATAATCTCGTTTTGCCTTGTTGCTTTATTATCGTTATAAAAGTGGCCATTGGTCCATCGTATAAATTCCCTATGAGACGTGTGCAATTTCTATCATGCAGTGTACGCAAATTTTTTTTTTATCAAATAGAGATAAAGTGTTGTTGAAGATATTAATAGTTCTTTGAAAGAATATTAATATGATCAGTATATATTAATCTCTTACTTTAAGTTTCTTTACTTGAGAATAAATCAATGTTGAAGCTCTGAAAATCAAATCATGAAATGTGTTGCATGACATTATAATTACTTATAGGTATACATTGAACTGTGATATTAATAATGTGTCTGTTTTCATGTATTGTACACAAGAATTTTTTATTATTCAAATTCATAACCTTTCATGCAAAATATATCTACAAAAAGGTATTTTTTGTGTATCTTTATGTAATACTTTATGGCTTGTGCATATACGTTCGTTTGGTCTAAATTTGTTGCAGTGTTATCATTTATTTATTTTATTTTGTAGCCTCAGATATGTTATGAGGGTATCAGCTTTTACTATGAGATCCGTGTATTCTTATACATTCTTCATATGTGCAAATCACGTTATGCAGGAGCAGCAGGATTTACGAGAGCCAGCCCATCATGCTAGAAGACCGATGAACGCATTCCTCATCTTTTGCAAACGGCATCGGGGCTCGGTACGTTCTGGTTTCCCTCACTTGGAGAATCGAGCAGTGACACGCGTCCTTGGAGAATGGTGGGCAACACTTCATCCTGATCAGAAACGTTCATATACCAATCTTGCTCAGGAGGTAAGTATGAAAAGAAAAAGAAAAGTTCCTGTGTGATAATAAAAAGGATTAAAAAATCGACTTTTGTCAGCTGTCAAGCATTGTAGCTTGGACAATGAAACAGTAATATTTTTTGTAGTATAAAGATGCCTTCTTGAATGCAAATCCAGACTTCAAATGGTACAAGTTGCCAGCACCACCTCTTCGAACTTTAACCACAAGGCCGACAAATAAAAAGTCAGAACTAGGAGCTAGCGAACCTGGTGATCAACAGGAGGATTTAAAGTTTGAATTTGAATCTTCCGAAAGAATCTCGTCAGAGAAAAAAGATGGACAGGCCATACAACCAGGAAAGTTAGCCGATGAGTCACAAATTGGTGGTCTCAGCTCTCTCTTCACTCCACAAAAGACACAGTCGCAGAACGATTTGCTGACAACCAGCAACGATATTACCAATAGTGAGAACAACAGTGGCGGCGTCCCGAAACCTCCTAAGAAGAGATACATCGAACTGCCTCTAGATTTCGATCAGAAGAGAGAATGTAAGATTGACTTGTTTGGCGACAAGAAAAAGAAAAGATCCGAATCCAATAACAATCTTCAAGATCACTTGGTAAGCATCTTTAGAGTCTGAGGTTACTATTTTTCAAGTAATACAAAATAGAATGTCAAATAAAAATTTCGGTGAGGTGTCGAGTTTATGTCTCTGTAGAGTACCGTGGATGATGGAAACGGTAATTACTTCGAGGGTAACAATGCTTCTTTTGAAGAAAATAATCTTCGCGGTGAGAGAACTTGTAAAGGACTTCGGTACCAGAAGTTTTTGGCGGAACAGCTGAAAAGTATTGCTCCGATCGGCCACCAAACGAAACGGAAGCGCGGCCTAGGTCTACAGAGGTAAACATACATCATGAGTAATGAACTATTAAATTCTTATGTGCAATAATGTATATTGGTTATACACATTAAAGCCTCTATACTATCAATGCTTAGGAATTTATGTAATAATTGTCTGTCTATAGCACAGAGGAATGCTCGAATGAAAGGAGAAATTCAATATCATCGAATGTCAGTGAAAAAACTGACTCTGTAAGCAGCGAGGGTGGCAATAGTTCTCGGGGTGATCTGGAACACCTTGTTGAAAGGTAAATTCGTAATATAAGAGATTGCTTAACCAAATCAGTGTGCGTGCGTGCGTGCGTGCGTGCGTGCGTGCGTGCGTGTAGGGCACTCATAGGCTGTCCTAACGATTATCTTTGCCTCTGTGTTAAGTGCCGAAGGAAAGGTTGAAGCTTCGAAACCCGAGGAAACAGAAACTGCAGGTACCGAAACCCAACCAGATTACGGACCATGGACAGCACGCAAGAGATTCAAAGCTGAGTCAGTTCTTGTTTTCATTATTATTCCTAATATCAATCTCATTCTCAGTGCCATAGCCGTGAAATTATCTTTGATTTATCTGCGTCGCGCGTTGCATTGACGAAAAATTTGCAATCAATGTTCTATGATTTCTCCATCTATAAATAGTAAGTCTATCCTAGTCGTTTACTCAAGAACTTCAATTCTTTCAGGGATTTCAACCTGGATAAAAAGATTCAGGCTCTACCATCTCTAAGTCTCGAGGAGTTCCAAGAGAAGAAAAAGCAGCAACGTACGAAGAAAAAGAAAATTGTCCAGAAGAGTAACTCGAATGGTATGAGTTCAGGAATTGGCGTAAGCAGGAGACATCATAGCGATTCCTCATCTAGTTCCCAATCAAAATCCTCGTTCCAAAGTGTCAGCGAGAGTCAAGAGGAAGCCGAAAGAGCATTGCTGGTCGGCAGTCAGAAGAGAAAAGCACGAAAGCAAAGTATAACACGAAATGCAGCTGCGACTAGTGTCGTTGTCAAACGGCAAGATGATGAAGAACCAAATAAAGGTAAGAAAGCAAGAATTTCTAAACTCTTTACGTCGATAATGGTAATAACATTAATAATTGATTATGGATAAAATGATAGAGAAGAAAGAAATGATAAAAGAAACATAAATAGGTGATTCTTACGTACGCTTAATTCACTGAAAAAATTCAATGAAATATTTACTACGATTGGTAGACTGGTGCGCATCGCCGGGCCTCGAAGCATTGGCTTGCCTCGCAGCGGTCGCCGCCAACCGAACGAAACTCACCAAATAATGCGCAAACGATTCTTTCCTGAGATACCTTCACTTACGCAGTGGTTACCCTTTACGAAAATTTTATACTAACCTCTCACTCCGCACTCCCAATATAATGTTAATTTTCGGACACGTGTTACGATTAATTATCATCATCATTATTATTATTATTACTATTATTGTTGTTGTTGTTGCAGTTACAGTTATTATTACAGTTACTATTATTAGATATTCCTACGATTATTAGCATTACTTGTAAGGTTATCTCAATCAATAATTATTAGTCAGGTTGTTACTGCTACTAGTGTCGATCATCAGAATGTCATCTAATCGTATTCCGTAATATTTTGCCTATTTTTCTTTAGTCCTCGTTACGTCACTTTCTCTAAAACATACATAGCTTGTACTTTTAACCATCGGATTTGGATCCGATGATTCTACAGCTCATTATTCGAAGGAACGCTACTATGATGTTTCGATCTGCATTCCAAATTGGTATCACAATGAAATCTGATGAAATCGAATGAAAGGAAATCAGTAAGTGAAATCGAAAAAAAGTATAAAATCTATAATATAAATCCAAGTGAATCGAAACTCGATTGGTTCGTCGGCATGGGATATTTATTAATCTGATTATTCCGTTTTTTGCATCCGATATTATATAAAATGGGTACAGGACGAATATTTCGTTAAGACAACCTTTTTTTTTGTTCTTTTTTTCTTCATTTCTATTTTTCAACTGCATTCTGCACTATATTTCACGGAGTGAAGGGGTATATCCAGAATTTATTATACGGTAATAAACGTTTGGTGTACATAGGGCTAGGCGCAGTATTACGAGCCGTGTGCAATTCGAACTCGGCATGATCGATATAATCAAAATGTATAAACGAGCGGTGTACATGTGTGCACATACATACGCGTACATACGCACACATGCGTGGTGATCACAGTGTTCTTTCGTGTTACCATAACTGTCTAGATTCAAGTAATTTTCACAGAAAGGTATTAAAGGTACTAGGTAGGAAGCAACGGAACGGCTGGAATAGGCCTCACTTTTTGTTTTACGACATTCAGATCGACACGGATGTGTATGTATGCAATGGTGTGTAACGATAAGACTACTAATATATTTCAATGTATATTTATAATATTTATATCGAGTAATGTATCTAAGGCGAGAAGACTATGAGGATGCAAGTTGTTGGGGCTGTTGGAGAAAGTAAGAGAATTGTCTGTGATTTTGGCTAAAAGAATTTTTAATCTTTTCTATTTTTCTATTTGATTATCACGTTAATTTTGTTGAAAACGAAACAAAGAAGTCAATCCTGAGAGCTGTTAAAGCATTAAAAGCAAATACTATCGATAGACTTTCGTTGACACTTTGTGAGGCGAATGCATGTATAATTATATTTCAGACGTGCCTTGATGAATGATATACATAGCACTTAAATGATGACCAACTACAGTTTTGATCCAGTTTTCATTTATTTATCGCTTTACTTCGAATGGATCTTCTAATTAATATGTGTCGCGTTTCGAGATATTGGGAGAGGTACTGAATTTTTAAAGTCTCGGCCGACCAAGACCTGAAATCTAGCTATTTTAAAACAAGAAATTTTCGAATTTTATTGCACAAAATATGTGTAACTAGCTTTAAATTTTAAAAATATGTAATTTACGTATATATATATATATATATATATACACACACACACACATATATATATATACACACATACTTGTAACATATTGTATACTGTTTATATGAGTAATAAAGATATAATATTTTGATGTAGCTCAGAGCTGTGCCCCGCCTTTCTGATAGAACAAACACATAATATCAATATATCGAAAAAAAAAGATGTTTCAGAGAAGCTGTCGACGAATTATGTTATAACTTCACAAGGTGTCCTTAAATCGTATAGGGTACCGCATGTGGATGTTTAGAAATGACCTTGGTTCCACCTTACTACCAACTGTCCCTCCAATAATCTTTTATGAAATCAGGAATCACTGGAACCGTTTGGCAGAAAAAAATAGTTATTCTTTGACCGTACTGGCTATATTTCCACTGAAGTCAAGTTGAGAGATTAAATATGTGTGTTGCATATCTATATATAGTAGAGTGAACTATGAGTACACATCCAATATGTTTCAACATTGCCCATTGGGGAGCTTGGTGCTCACTACGGATCGATTAGCAAGTAGCAATATTGATGTGACAGTTGCGACTACGTCTGTTGGTTTATGTTGTTTGTATCATATGATATCAGTAGGCATCATACTTTTGTGAAGTTACTCAGATATCCATTCACGACGAGTTTAAGACTTTCATTAATCGTTTGATGGTCGTTTGCCGATGATTGATACTCCAATTAAAATGTTCGATACTCGATAATTATTTCAGAAAATCAATTTTAAATTTGAGTCTAAAGTTAACCGAAAATTGTTTATTTTTAATTTGTTTAGGTCTAAAGGGTGGTCAATCGATAGGGATTTGTTTGACGGTTGCGAATATGCTAATTAAAATTTTGATAGCAAGCGGTTTAGTATATATATGGAAAAATCGTATTTCACGTTTGCGAATGATTGCGATGATGCCGAATGCTGGATGCCTCTTATTGTTTATAATCCCGCGTTCTGATTCTGGTTAAATTTTTTGTTATATATTCCGGTCAACGCCTGTAGGAACGGTCAATAGATATGTGTCGTTGTCCGTTGGGTCCAGTTTATTCAGTTAGCTGCAGTGGGCAATGTTGCATAGTGTTTGATACTTATTTGGTTCATCGTGGTTGATAGATAGGAACGCGCTGGCAAAGTGTAGGCTAGTCAGGTCAGTTAGAGCCAGTGTAGGCATAACCATAATACAACTAGACGAGGTATAGCCACTAGCGGTTCTGCGCACGTAAACAATGACGTCACTAGACCCTCTCTACTCTGATTGGCTGACTTTACATATGATGTGTCGTCACGCCACACATCGTTCCGTTTTGAGGGGCCATATTTTTACGAACCGAAACTTAAATGAGTCCCCTCAAAGTAAAACTGATGTCGCTTTGAATGTGACATCATTGGTGCCTACGCAATTTGGCCAAAATACGATCATTAGTGGCTATACCTCGTCTATTTGTATTATAGGCGACAGACAGACAAGTGAATGCAAGTCATTGATAAGTGCACGAAGTTTATCGACTCAAGCAATTTCAATAACCAATGAACCAACTGTCGACATATCAAATATAGGAAATCAAAAGTCATTGACACTACAAAACTAAGCGGTTATCCTGCCTTTCGCGATGGGAGTGATATTTTTAGAGCACATTGGCGGCACTCGCCTATTTTCCTGTGCGTCGTGCGACACTAACCTCACCAATCGTGGACAGTTGATCAGCACGCGCTTTACGGGAGCAACTGGTCGGGCTTTTCTCTTTAACAAAGTCGTCAACCTTAATTATAGGTAAATGGTATGAGTTTCGTTATTAGATTACGCAATTGTCGGACCTACGTGATTGCATCTTTCGTTAAGAATCTATCGACATAAAATATTTACGTTTTTCTTACATGTTAACATTTATTTGCACTCATCAGTGTCTGGCTCTTGCAAGGGATCTGTAAGCAATGAGAAATATGCATATTAACTAAGATTTTATTGAGTTTAATGCTTTGAATCGTATGTACAGCGAAGTACAGGATAGAGTGATGCTAACAGGGCGTCATATGGTGCGGGATGTCAGCTGTAAGAACTGTGATGCCAAACTTGGATGGGTCTATGAATTTGCTACGGATGACAACCAGAGATACAAGGAGGGACGAGTGATTTTGGAGAGAGCCCTTGTCACAGAAAGTGATGGCATGGGAGAGAATATTTAAAATTTGTTGCCATAAATAGCAGGGAATGCTGAACTTCTTAAAATCTTTTTCTTGTAGTATTGTACCAGAGAATTGTGGTTTCTGGTGATTGTGTAATTTGAATAATTTGTCGTGTTATTATATGCCATTTTTCTAATGTAATTATTTATAACTTACTTTCATATTTGATATTTCTAAAAAAAATGTTCAAATATATTATGAGTGTTTTCAATTAGGTTACTTTTATTTATTATGTTGAAATTCGTTTTGTTGACCTTTATATTTCAATGTTCCTACTTCTCGACATGTGGTATATTCATGATAAATTATAATAGATACTGATTTTTTTATTACTGATACTTAAACATATAATTGAAGAAATTGGTTTCCATAACATGCTGTGAATATAACAAGGATAGAAATAGATTCAGAGCAATTTAATTGCCCATATTTAAAGATAGTAATAGAAACATTGGCAGTTCTGTTAAAGTGTACTAGAGTCTGCTTACACTATGAAATTTATATATGTTACTTGTTTAGAAATTTACACTTAGTTTGGAAGGAATAAATGTTTAAGAAGCTTAAATAAAATTTATCATTTTAGAATAAACCAACTATCAAGATATTAATATTAGGAAAACTCATGGAAAGTACATATGTATTGCGTTTGATAGAAAGTTTCAAGATTTTACCATGGCACCTAAATGATTGTCAAGGAAGAAATAGGATAGTTGGAGATTAAGTTTTTATGTAAAGCAGATATCTAAGTAAGTTTCAATTAATTTGACAATAACATTAAAATAATGGATCCTATGTCAATTGATTACTGTAAAGTTTCTGCATTTAGATTATGCTGAATGTAAGATCTACAAATCTCTTAGGGAAGATACATTTCTGCTTGTTAGAAAGAAAATCTGAAGACACAAAACTAATACGCTACAATCTTGTCATAAAATGTGAGGGCTACACAGGGCTACAATTGATTACAGTAATCTGCAGTAATCTAAAATCGGTCACAAACAGCTAAAAGCATCGGCAGTGGTCGGTGATGGTCGGCACTTGTCGGTACCTGCGCAAATACTACAGAGATGTTACTCCCAGGCGATTGGTTGGAATGCCCGGCTCAGCGTAGTACCACCCAATGTTATGGCGGCAGCGAACTGAGTAGCGAACAGTGTGGTCACGTAGGCCCACCATACCGCGTGGTGGATGCTGCATGTCCGATAAACGACGAGTAAGATGCTGTAACGTAAAACTTGTTTGTGTGAAAAGTCTGTGGTTTGAGAGCCAGCCAACAGTGGTATCAGATACGGTAAGGTTGCTTTCTATTTTCCTGAAGGAAGTAAAAGATATTTCGCTTGAAAGGAAGTAGAGAATTGTTTGTGCTCGATTAATGGCTGAGTAGTAGTGGCGTGCGGTTGTGATATCGGCTAGCCGGCTACCTCTTTCCTAATGGTGGCCTCGCCTTTTTCGATTCTGCGAGAATTCTTTTTTTTTTCTTCAAGGTGAAACTTTTGCTTGCATTTATTTTCTACAAATATGTGATTTTGATCACAATTACAAGAGAAATGCCAGTGCGTCCTTTGCCTCCCTTCTCGCCCCCTCACCGTGTTTCTCTAATCTCACATTTACCTTCTACCTTTTGTGTCCCTCTTGCTCCTTGGAGATATACGCTACTTTGTCAAACTAAATGTTTAAGCTGTTCTGGAGAAACGCGATAAATTTTTGAAATATTTGAGAATTTCGTGTGCGGCCTCCTTCTGAGAAAATATTAGAATGGTTATTTTGATAGCGGAGTAACCTCGATTGTTGCCTCCAACTTGGAGCATGTACCAACAACTACCACGGAACTTGTTTATCGAGTTGACCAAGTGTATAAGGTCCGATGCCATTGCACTGCTAGAGTGGTTTATGGCAGGAAGGCTATAAATACATATAGTGTGGGGTAAACAAACTTGACCTCAGAAAATTCTTATCCATACCTGGGTCGTTTCGAGGTTAGGGTTAAGTTGATTATATTTTGTTTCCAACGAACATTCGTGATTTCATAAGCTTGCAATACACGTGTAATCCTTATTTTGCGTTATAATAATCAAAACTTGAAAAAAAATGGGAGAAAGCTGGATTCTTTCGCGTTTCAATTTTTTCTTTATTTTCATGATATATGAAAAATATAAATGGTCAGCATTCCGTTGCATTGAACTTCTTGATTAAGTGATATTCAAATATGATTTAGGGTATTGAACGACAATTAAATATATTTATTTACATTCAGACAATTTTAGTGCGGTTGCATTATTAATACATTTGTAGTTTTCATTTATTTAATCTCTCGAGTTTTTACTAGGAGTTCATTAGCGGATATAAACGATTTCAAAGAGAAAACTTTTTCATTCCCTTCAACTTTTCAAAATAAACGTTTGTCTTCAAGGATTGGAAATCTTTAAGGGGAATAAGATGGAGGTCATAAATGATCTAGTTAAAAAGTATAAATCGCGAATCTGTTCTTCACGCAGTTAAATTTGAATGTTCGTTTTATTTTATTTTAGAAATCTGCTGAGCGTACCTAACGGGAAGCGAAAGTCACCACTACGCTCTCAGCTTTCGCAAAAAGCATTTTTTCAATAAGGAGATAGAGCAACATTTGATCCGATCGAACCGTGCAGGTCGCGTGGTTGCGTGATTTGCAATGAAGTGGTCGCCGGGTGCTCTCTTCTGTGAACAAGTTGGTGAGCTGACACGAGTCTTCTCCCAATGGAACGAATGCGAACAGACTGTCGTTCTCTATGCTCTGCTGCGCCGTATTCCTGCTGTCCAAGCCAGGTTTCTTGCACAGGCAGTACAGCATTCATTACACTCGGTGTCTGAGCTGGACACCCAGGAATTAAATGCCAATAACCCTGGTAATATATGCATTGGAAGGTTATCTATATTGGAGTTGTTTCAGTTTACTCCAAGTAACACATGTTCTTCCATATTTTAGTTTTCATCAACTCATTACTCTCGGAATCAACGGAGATAGCTATTAACCAGTTGCTGACACACCTTCCCTTACTCAGACCTGGAAACGTCGAGTGCAAGCAGTGTTACTTGGTCGCCATACCAGAGCTTGTCAGTCATTGTGTTTCTACTGGACAATACACAGAACAAACTCAACAATTATTGAGCTACACTTTAATTCATCCGGCAATAACTAGTCAGGATAGGAGGTCGTTAACCCAGTGGCTTCGACATCTCGAAGAACGAATTACTGGTACACCCCCTATTCATAGTCTAGAGGAGTACGCGAATACTCCAACTAGGTGAGAAAGACAAAATAATTTTTAACCTTGGGAAAATTGTTTCTGCCTATTAACCACCTGAATTTGCATTTTTTATAAGATGGGAAAATGCATGGCAGAGGAACAAACAGCATCATCATCATCAACAGCATCAACAGCAGCAACAACAACAACAACAACAACAACAGCAGCAGCAGCAGCAGCAGCAGCAACAACACAGCGAGCAAACAAATTTGTACAGTGTACAATCTGGTGCAACGTTCAATCTTCAGTTTCCGCCGCCTGTTGCGCGTCAACGTCGTTCGAATAGCTTGACACCACCCGTAGCTCCTTCACACCATTTGGAAGTGGTCGAACGTAGCAACAACACCAACAGCGTAATCAGGCTTAAGCCACGTAGTTTCAGCGTTTCCGGCGATCATACGAGTGCGTCAAAATACGACGATTTTCATGATACAAATAGCTGCTGTTTTAGTTTTTGAATTTTCCAATTTAAAAAAATACTTGATTCGCGTTACAGGCAGTCTCATCGGGTTGGGTCCTCTCAGCCCACAAAGTTCTTGCGCGAGTAGTGGTAGCGAAGGCAGACTGGACGAGGCGTCAATTCGAACTTTAGCCAGTGGAATGAGAGGTGCGTTACTGATTGCCCATAATTAGTCAATTTTTAATATAGTATCTAATGTGTTCTTTTCGGAGCATTTTCTCATTTAATCCTTCGCGTGTTCCTTCCATAGAAGCTGACGTCGACTTAAATAAATACATTCCTTTTGTATAGATGTAGCTTCCTGGTTGAAGACTCTGCGCCTTCACAAGTACAGTTACTTATTCGCAACGTTAAGTTACGAGGAGATGTTGGAGCTGACGGAAGAACAGCTGGCTGAGCAGGGAGTAACGAAGGGCGCTAGACACAAACTGGCCATTTCCATCATGAAACTGCATCAACGATATTCCACATTATTGAATTTAGAAAAGGACTTGCTACAACCAACTCGCGATGGGAGTCAACAAGCATCCTTTAGTCAAGGGCCAGTGCTCTTGGTTAACACGTTAGATGAGCTCAAGACAATTTTAGCAACACCGCTGAAACCGAGCCAAGAGAATGATCCTCAAGACATTCCTGCTCAGTTCACCAAAGTGCTTGGCAAATGTATGTATTTTCGTTCCATGAAGTCATTTTTTGAATTCGCGATTCATAAAATTAATAAATTTAACATAATTGATAACTATGACTTTCGATTATATTTAGTATGCAGCAGACTGGCATTAGACAGTGTCGATGATGGTGTTCTTTGTGCCTGCATCAATATTTTGGAGAAGGTGTTGCAGCACGATTGCTTCACTCCAAATCAGAAAGAAAAGGTTCAGCAGTGGCGTAGCAGGCTAGGCAATCCAAGAACCACTCCCAAGTGAGTAGAAAAACACGATTGGGTAATATGCCGAATACACCGTGATACTATTCTAATTGTAAATGTTGATTTAATCTCAGGTGGCAACATAACTATAGCTACAACAGCAGGAAGTACTGCAATCCACAGCAGCACAATTTGCACAACAGAAAACCGAGTTTGAACTTAGGTCACGTTCACAGCAGCCATGCACATGCATCGTTTATGGTGAGTCCACACAGGAATAGTATATCAACTCCGTACTTGCAGAACAACCAAAGCCAAAATGTGAATCAAAACAATTTGCGTCCTCTTCATACAACCGAAAAGCGACCCAGCTTGCAAGAGACCAGTTTAGAGGTAATTCATTGGGTTTACGTGTCAGTAGCGAATGCTGCGAATATCGCAGTGATAATCTTTCAAACACTTCTCGCTGTTTTCATTTTCGTTGTAGCAGCTGCAAAGAACTTTACAGCGTACTTACAGTGCGCCGAGAGATCATTTCCTGGGCCAATCTAGTAACACTCCGGAAACGACAGAACCAGAAATCAACTCTCGACTAGAATCTCTTTGCCTACGTATGACGGAACAGGCTATCGGTGGTTTCGGTGAGGCTTAACGCGTTGAATTGCATGGAAAAATGCTGAACAGCTGCGTATTACTGACAGCGCAGTATATTCGTATCTTGGGAAAGGTGAGTCATGATTGTCAGTAGAAATTGAAAAACAGGTGAGATCGTAATTTCGTAAAAAGATATAAGGGGAAGAATACGCAGAGTGACTACATTGTGCGACCACACTGCACAATTATTAGTAACAGCCCAACCAAATGGATTGTCTGTCTGTAACGTGCGACATTACGATGAGGCAAAGATTCTCCCTTCTAAACAGTGAATGTCTATCCGCAATTTGTAGATCATATTTTATTACATTCATTGCAATTGTACTATTTATATGAATTGACAGAATTTGGCAAGCCAAATGCTACTAGAAAGATAGATTCTTTCCTTTACTATTTACATAATGCGTCTATATAAATATATATATTACACACACACACACACACACACACACGCAGGCGCGCAAACAAACATACGCAATATATATATATTATGATCGAATTAAAGAACAAAATGATGAATGGCGGGAGACTGAGGGAAAGATGAAAAAAGAAATCGTATACAATACATAAGATAAAAAAGAGAGAAAGAAACAAGAAAACGGATAAAAGTAATAGCTGCTGTGCGAGATATATGCAATATTGTTTTTGTGTTATCCATTTCGGGAAATGGAATTCTTCTGATTTTAAACGCTGATACACATTATGCTAATATAATGTAATTCATTTTAATGAACGGACTGATTTTACTTTTTATTATTCTCTATCGCTAGACATGCATACTTAAGAATAAAAGCAGACCTGCACTCTCGATTAGCGAGGAGCAGTTTATGGTCTAGGATATAAACTGTAGTGTTGTGCATTTTTCAGTCGAGTTTGTCGGAACTACATACTTAATCTTGTATATAGTGTGTATGCTTCGTAGTTCATGCACAGATTTCGTAAGTTTAATTTTGTCCGAACGAATCGTCAATTTTATTGAAATGTTCGAGGTGGGCATTAATTGTTATTTCTTTTTTTTTGCATTGTTTGAACATCGAAGACGATTATAATTAGACTATATAGACAAACAATAATGAAATTTAAAGGGCCTTAAGCAAAAATACATGATAGGTGCCCAGGGAAGTGATTTGCTTCTGTGAAACATCCTGATGCATGGACATACGCACGTTTACGTAAGAAGTGTGTGCAGAGTTTTATGTGCGAGGGAAAAAGATTTAAGAGTTGCGTTGAGAAAAGCGAAAGGATAAAGGGTGAAAAGGGGAATGAAGAAAACGGGCGCAATCGCGTGAAAGCTTCTAACATCGAAATCTGTGGCTTTAAATTATAAGCATACATTGTATTATTATATATTAGCACTTTAGATAGCTTTGCTATACTTAGTAATATTTTTCGTGCAACAAATCTACCGAGTAATATTATTAATGAACTAAATAACTAAATGGAAAACAATGAGACTGACTTTTTCACGCGTTTCGATGGTTAAACCAATGATAATTGAGTTCTAGTTATATTAGAAACGGCACTCTTACTTTGACGTCCTACGGGCGCGTGAATTAAACAATTGGAAGACTGTGGAAGGGAAAAAACCTGTCGAAATAATAAGAATTAGAGAAAGGTATCGCGTAACGGAAGTACTATTAATGTTTAGGTTAATTGACTATAAACATATATGACGAACGATGTAAGCTAGTGCATATGGTGATTGCCGAATTTTATGGAAAAATCCCCGTAGCCGACTCCAGGTAAATGTGTTGAAGAAAGTGGGAAAAAAAAGTGAGTTTAAGGGGTGTGCATGAGGTGCCGGAAAAATTATTTAGAAGGGTGCAGGACCTGTGCCAAGCAATTATTGACGTATCCAAAATAAATTTGGAGCTAAAGAGATGGCCGAGGCGATCGAACAGCGAAGGAGAGAGGAAGGGTGGCGTTTCATTTCACAAGTTAATTTTATAATTAATTTCACGGCAAACAACGTGTAACAGAAACGTATATATTGTATAACCCTTGTGAATTCTAAGCGAGATCATCAAAAGCTAGTCAGACGATACGTTTCTAATTTCTATCAGTTATTAACATATTTAATTGTAGTCTACATTGCACATTACATAAGATTATACATATGCATATGCATCATGTGATTTACATGTTGCACCATACAACACAACCGATCTACACATCCACACGATACTCAGCGAATAATGCGAATCACATTTAATACGTGACCAAAAACAAAAAAAAAATTTTAAAAGACTGCTCGCATGTAATTGCAGGATTTTCGTTGAGTGTAATAATCCATTGGAAGCACAGTATCTAATTTAATCTATAAAGGCAGGACCTACCTAACAAAGAATGCAAGATTTACTTTATTTGTAAAGAGAGAAAGGCGGATAGAAAACTAGAAAGGAAAACGCGATAAAGGATCGGTGAAGGATAGCGAAAGATAGTGAGAGCAGAAAAATGATTACATGATAGTTATACTTTGGTGTGTACGTGATGTGAGGGGCTGAAGGTTCGGTTATCGCCTTTTGTCTTGTACTACTATTATTATTGCGATAACTTTACTGCTAAATGACCATTTATTCATTGCTATTATTATCCCTATTATCATCGTATGAATCGTATGAACACTACCGACATCCTTGTTGTCCCTCGTTTATTTTAAATCCTATTTAATATTCTGAGTGCAAGTTGCGTACTTCAGGGCTTGTCTCGCGATCACCTGCGCACAGCAACCGTAAGATTTCCTTTTATACTTCTATCGCTTGCTAATCTCATTTTCTAATGTGACTCAAGAACAGCAAGGGGGGAGGGTGGTTGCACACAAAACTTCTTTAAGCATAACGTAAGGTTCAGGCCAATCATCATACGCCCATGATATTTGACGGAGTTATGGACGTACTTTAATAGATTGGCGAGCACCTTCCATTATGTTTACGAAAATCTTTTGTGCGAGACCCCCTTAATACCACCTGACACGTTTTATCATATTGTACTATACTGTGTACTTATTGGACAGTCACTCCGGAGTTCCGGTGGTCCGGTGGTCCATAATTATACCTCATTCTTAGAGTCGCCATCGAGCGGCGAAGGTCTCTTTAAAGTCGAGGTGTAATTACGAACCAATGAGAAGAAAGACTCTGTTGTACCTGCGTTGCTTTTAAAATTAACTTGGGCAGCGGCTGTTATAATATTAAGCGGAGGTACAATGTGACACGGTGCGAAAAATATTTTAGAGGAAAAAAAGAGTTGGTTGGTCATACACTCGAGCGGGACTCTCCCACTTGGGCCTCCTCGTCACTTTACCGCCTTCTCGCCTTCTTGAAAATTTTATTAAATTGGGCCAGTAGCAGTGAAATTCCCGAATATACGGCCAAAAAGTGCACGCGTGCCGCACGTCCTCCTTCGCGACCCAGGTAGCAAAGTCTCAATGCGCGCGATACTTACGGTTCCTCTTCCGAGGCTAAGACGTTTCTATCGATAGTCTGTTGTCTTATGAAACGACTCTGCGGCGAAACTGGAACCGAGAAAATATGGACAACTCCTTTGGTCCCTCTCAAGAAGTCGTTCTCTTCCATTTACCATCGCCAACGAAATAAGTGCTTGTTGCAACGAGATTGCTAGCCTGGGATATTTAGTCATGTAAGCTGGACAACTTGTAAAAATGCAATTTTTGTACTGTTACAAATTTAAATAGACGGAGATACACTGACGTTGTAATGTGGAAGAACATTTTTCAATAAAAGATTTTTCATACGCAAATAGAAGCTGTCGAGTTGCTTTTTTTTTTATCTGCCTTCATATATGTCCATCCCGTCTCTTCCAAAGAATAGTGCACGTTGCAAAATATTTTTTTCCTTTCAGTTGCTTCGAAAATCACTCTTGGGATTTCTCGCAGACGTCTGCATCTTAGAAGAAGGATCTTGTCAAGTGTGACAACCTTTTTTGAAAATTTTAAATACAAACAATGAACACTACTTGGAGATATTTTATTCATTTATTTTATTTATTCCTTCGATCGTAACGAATAATATATCGGAATTAAAATTCTTTTCAGTTTCTATCAGTAAGGTTACGTTGCAAGATAATTGCGACGCTCATGCTAGTGCCACACCAGTGGTCGATTGTTATGGCAGTACCGGTAGTACTTACGGAAGAGATGATGAGATGCGGAGATTGCCTATGACTATGTTTACACGACGGTCTTAAATAGGTTTAGTTAATACTGATCTAAAGGAATTGACGAATCATCGACATTTCTACTTGTAAAGAATATTTGGGATTGGTCATTCCTTTAGATTATTATTATTAACTAAATCGGTTTAACGCCATTGTGTAAGCGTAGTCTATGATTATTGAAACGAGAAAGAAACAGTTTTCAAAAATTGAGGTGCCAACTTCACATTCATAGCACATGAATTTTTGAAAAGTATTTTATTAACAGGCTTTCTCAATAGTTCTTGAGAAGTTCTATAGTTCTTGATAGGCTTTAACCATGGTTATGCTTCGAAATATCGGTAAAATACCTATTAAACATACTGGTGGTACCTACCATATGGTGCTTTCAGTATGGTTCTGCGTTGAGTTCCGAACAGAAGCCAGCGTCGCACCGCTGCACTCCTTAGTGAAGGTAGGCATGAGGTGCTGGCTATTGTCACAGTAAATCTTATCGAGGTTACATCGTGCGTTCGAACTGAACATTGCAAAAAAAAAGATATTTTGGCAATATCTGAAGAGTGGCCTCGCTCGAAAGGTTGCTCTGGGAACCGACGATAGGTGGCGGAGAACATCTACCCACAAAGCTATACGTTCGTGATCACGTTCAGCTCGGCCACGACGGAACATGCATTAGCGACGGAGGTGATGATCACAGAATCTTTACTCCCGGACTCGCCGCTACGATTTAGCGCCATTATTTTGGTATCCTCTAAAATCATCTTTGCTGAAACAGAGATGAGTTTCTCATCTCTGGCTGAAACCGTACCGTTGTGCATCTTCATACTCATCTCTGGTACAGGAAAGTGTCTCACTCTGGCCAGAGGAAACTCTTTCAATTTGAAGTATTTTCAAATGAATTTCATGGCTGAAGATAATAAGAATTGTATTTTCTGTAAAATCTTGCATGGCCAGGCACCCAGCGAAACTATATACGAGGTATGCAGATGTACGTAGTCTAACTAATCTCAATGTCAGCGTTGTCGAGTTTCCTTTTGGCAATCGCTCATCCCTTATTAACTTGATTTCTTTCGCATTAGAGTAACGATGTTCTGTGCATCAAGGACATCCATCCAGCATCTACGCATCATTATTTAATTATCCCGAAGGTACACATAGAAAATGCAAAAGTTCTAAAACCCGAAGACGAGCATGTTTGTAAGATATTCCTTACTTCGATTATTTTACTTACTGTCCGGGACCAGAAATAATCTTAATCGCCTAACGAAATTACTTGATTTGTCTTTTAGTAGAAAAAATGCTCGATGCTGTAAAACTGGTGTCTGAACGCCATGGACTCGATCCAGCCTCTACTAGAACTGGATTTCACTGGCCACCGTTTACCACTGTAAGACATCTACATTTACACCTTATTTCTCCAGTGGAGAATATGAACTTTATCAAGAGAATAATGTTCAAGCCTAATTCCTTCTGGTTTGTCAGTGTAAGAGTAATAGCTATATGAATATTATCATGGTGTTTAAGAAGGCCTCATGCAAACAACTGGCACGTTATTAAGATTATTTAATTTCGTTATTTTTAGACGGAATATGTCCAATCACGCTTTCAATCATAAGGGCTACACCACCTTGAGATTTTCAGGAAATCAATTTTGTTGCCTAGATTTATTATTTATACCTTTAAGAATATTTGAATTGAAATTAATTATAAAAATATCGAGAACAGTAACTCTTGATATAAAAGGCGACTAAAAAGCAGTTGGACGTCCTCATTGGAGCACGAAGAAATGGTATCACCCGTTGAATCGTTGTTCAATGGGAAGATAGAGGAAGCTAGCACCGGTACATCAGCTAAAAAATTAAAGAGCGGTGAAAGCGTTGATTTTAAAGTCAACGCGTCTTTCGGGTACCAATTAATGAATTTTGTGTCTGTTTTTCGTGCGTCGGTGATATAAACATTACCGAAACTTCTCTTCGTCGTCTTGGTTTTAAACTAAAAGTTAATTGTCCAAAATGTTAAACAGTCCTAATGAACTCATGCCCGCTTATAAATGGTAGAGCATATGATGTAAATAGACGATTAGTTTTTGCGTTCAGACTTCTTAGGTATCTGTTTAGCAGGAATAGACAAATTTTGTGCAATCATGGACTTACCTAAAACAATTTTTCAATCGTTTTGCGATAAAGTTGTGAATATCTTTTACGCTGCTACAAAAACTATTTTTGAATTTTTTATGAAAAATGATCTTGAAGAGGCAAAAGAATTGGATAATGCAGAATAACTCACTATTTCAGGCGCTAGAACCTGGATGAAACGTGATTTTGTTGTCTCTTATAGGCGTTTCTACTCTCATATCATTTTATTCAGGAAAAGTTCTTGATTTTATTTTGAAAAGCTCATACTGCGAAGCTTGTGAATTTGAGAAAAATTTGAAGTTGTTGATGAAGGAATATAATGAGTGGAGCAATTAACACTCAGATAAATGTTCTGCCAAACACGAAGGGTCAGCTGGAAAAATGGAAGTGGGTAGTATTGTAGAAATGTTCAAAAGATCCGAAACATTTAATAACGTACGATATGGTAATTAAGTTGGCCATGGAGACAATAAGACTTATAAGCCATATGGGAATTTTGCCTTGAAAAAAAAAAGGTATTTATATGTCACGTGCAAAAGCGAATGGATACACAATCACGCAAAGCAAAAAAAGATAATTCTGGTATAGATGGCAGAGGGAAGTTGATAGTCAAGCTTATTTATGAGTTGACAGTTTATTATGGTCTTTCCATTAGAAGAAGTATAAATACATCAGTTGAAATTATAAAAAATGCGATAGAGCAACTTATTACCATAAAATATTCACTGATGAAAAGCCACAGCATATAGGATGACAAGTGCCCGTTCGGCGAAGACTCCTGGTGTTCGTATGAGAAAGCGAAGGCCTCTGGAACTTTGGATTCTTATAAACATAAAAATTCGATTCCTGTAGTTGTTCAAAAAGTAATTAAACCGGTATACGACAGATTAACTAATACCGATTTGTTAGAACGCTGTTTAGAAGGATCTACTCAGAATAACAACGAAAGTCTAAACGCTGTCATTTGATCTACGGCTGTAAAAGTGTATTTCAGTGACACAAAAATTGTTGAGATTGCATCTTATATTGCAGCTATTATATTTAACGATGGATATACTAGTGTATTAGAAATGGTGCAATTATTAAATCTTACAATTGGCCCAAGCGCGCTGCGATTATTCGAGCACTTGGATGCCCAGCGGGTATCTATAGCCAACATGAGCGCCCAACAGGAGACCAAAGAGGCTAGAAAGTTGAAAAGAGCTGCTGAAAAGGAATCTGAGGACATCGCGACGTCAATGTAAGACCTCATGTACGGTCCAGGAATCGCAGATTCAAGGTAATTAAACAAAATATTTGGTTTTAAGCCGCTGACGCCGAATTTTTTTTTTCTTTTGCGTTTTTCTTGAACCTGCTTTTTTCAAACTGGCGCACAAGATATCTCGAGATATACTTAATCGATTTTTATGAAATTTATAGCACATATGCTTTATAATATTATCTAAAATATAGAATAGGAATTTTTTGATTCGATGTCGCTTTCATTTTTTATAAACTTTTCAAACTCAAAATATTGGTCAAAATTTGAGTCTTTTTCAAACAACTGTCATTTCTACAAACAATTTATTAAAAAATTTTCCATATGCTATATTTTATCTATTACCTTTCTAAATAAGAAAACTTTTTTCTTTTATTTTCAGACGATGCCTGACAGAAAAAATTCCACCATCGGCAAGGATTTTCAAAAGAGGGTCTTACTTGACGACTCATATCTTCGCCATTTTTTAATTTTTTATTCGTTTTTTTTTTTTAATTGTTCATAAAACTACAGTGTATTTGTGTAAAATAAAAATTATTTTATATATTTAATAGTTGCGTGAAAACAAAATTTTATTTTTTGACCCATATTTTTAACCTGTCAATTGACTGAACTGGATCGCTCTAACTTCCTTAATATTATGATTGACATATTTGAGTGAAGTTAGCGTGTCTGTTGATGATAAACTGTCTGGTGAATGTGAAATATCTTGAACTATGTTTAAAAATAGACACAAGCACAAAAATAGGCACAAGCACGTAATTTTAAACATCCCGTACAGCTTTGAAATTTTTTAAAGAGCCAATTGCTTGCAAATGCGTACTTACAATGTATAGTGATGTTAAAATAAATAAATAATCTCTAGTCAATTGGCTTCTGAAAGGTACCATTCTGAAACAAACGCTGCCACTCTCTACCATGAGGATATTCGTAATCGAGGAGGCTGCTGTTTTTGAATTTGGTAGAGTATCCAGGAGCACTTGGTGGCATATAATGAGCGTTCTCAATATTAATAGTGTCTTCGAAATGTTCATGTTGCTGATCTACATATTCAATGACTCGACCATCGCTCGAGCCGCTCAAGCTGATAAAATCCCACATTTGAAGGTGCTGAACCATTTCGCAAAGGCCCACACCGCCTGCGTGAGGACAAACTCGCACTGAAATAATAAAGCGCGATGGCTGACTTACGGGGAAAAATGAGGACAATCATCCTCGAGTGACTACTATACTCGAGAGTTACCTCCGAACTTCGCCGCCATAAAGTAAACAGAAAGAATTTCATTGATGCCCCCGATCCTCGCTGAGTCTATCTGGCAGAATTGAATGGCTTTGGCCTGAAGCAACTGCTTGAAAATGACGCGATTTGCGCACATCTCTCCGGTCGCCACGCCGATGCCGTAAGGCTTCAGGTTTCTCGCTATTTCTGCATGGCCCAAAATGTCGTCCGGAGAAGTTGGCTCTTCGATCCAAATTGGTTTAAATTGAGCAAGCTTCTTTACCCACTCGATCGCCTCAGGTACGTCCCAAGTTTGATTGGCATCGAGCATCAGGTTGTTTTTGTAGCCAATCGATTCTCGTATTAATTGGCACCTTCTGATATCGTCCTGCACGTTTTGGCCGACTTTGGCTTTGAAGGAAGTGAAGCCAAGCTTCAGAAATTTGTGGCAAAGCTGACGAACCTTCTGATCGCTGTAACCGAGCCAGCCGACTTGCGTGGTATAAGCTGGATATCCATTTATCATTAAGAATTTCTCGCGCTCGGCTTTACCGGATTCTTTTTCCCGAAGCATCTTTATCACTTCCTCCTTGGTGATAACGTCCGTGCTGCATACCCCATGATAACGCAAAGGTCACGTAATGAAAAAGTATATACTATATATTTTGCAAGGAACTTACATGTATCGAAAGTCAACTGTGGAGACGAGTTGCTCCGGCGAAAGATCCGCTAGTAGTTTCCACACAGGCTTCCCCTCGATACGAGCCCACAAATCCCAAAGTGCGTTCACGATTGCCGCCGTGGCTAGATGGGTTACGCCTTTTTCCGGGCCGATCTGCCGAGAAGAGACTTTTTCAAGAAGCACAGAGAAGACCATTGACGCATTGAAATATAGCGAGGATCGGATGACCTGTTCTTACCCATCTCAGTTGCGAGTCGCTCGTCAGTTTCCTCCAGAACGATCCAAAATTGGCAAATATCTCATCGGCCCTCTCGCCCTTGACCAGCCTGGACATGGACTTGCAAGCCTCTACGACTAGAAGCATCAGAGTAGGAGCAGTAGGAGGAATAGGAGGAATAGGAGGAATAGGAGGAATAAGGAGGAGGCTTAAAACGACCATTTTCCGATCATTTTTACTTTTCACGAATTCATTTCAGTCGTTTAATACTTTTCTTACCAATTTCAGTGCCCCTGCCTAAGGTGAACGTCATGCCATGCCCCGAGACGCCATTGTCCGTCTTTATGGTGACATAGGCACAGGAGTAATCAGGATCCGCGTGCTGCGCAATCGACAAGACGATAATTAACATTTTCGACTCTCTGCTTGGACAGATGCGTGTTGCGACGCAGCTCGAATATATTGAAATTCGACTGTCGCGACGTAACTAAGGATAACGTGCAATTCTATTCTATGATAGTAGTCTTTTATGGAACGACATACCATAGCGTCGCTCCCATCGGCCAGTAGCGACGTTGGAAATCGAAGATCCCTCACGTCCATCTCCGTTATGGTGATCACCTTCATTTCGATGTTAATGATTTGTCAATTAGCAAGAGCGTCCTGGCAAGTTGGCAAGTTGGCAAGTTGGCAAGTTGGCAAGTTGGCAAGTGGAAGCTCACGCGCTCACATCCAGTCTGGCTCTTTGACCGAGCGCAGCTATCGAGTACCATTGCATTAAGGTAAATATATACTAATCGGCAACGTTGAAGTTGCAATTCATCTTCGTATCTGTTGCCAACGAGATAACGTTATCGTTCGTCCTATGTATGTACATACCTAAGTGTGGATCGTGTATGAAAGAAAGATCACCGTAACAATTGTTCTCGTTGCAATAGGTTGTCCTACGTTTACAAGATTGCCGCACGTATACATACACTGACATGAGAACTTTTTCTCATATCAGTTGGTAATATCAACTACCAGCTACGATAACGGAATGTTTGTTTACAAGTCGACCAATATTTAAATGAATTAACACGGTTCTTCAAATGATGTAACTGATATAGTTGTTTCGAGTGTGCATGTAATTCAGTGTGATCACATCATCTGATCGAAATGAACTTAAGGAAAATATAATCGATTCAATCTGTGGTTTACTAGAAAATGAAGAATTGTGTATTGAGAACTTTGTCTCGCAGGCGGCAGCACGCGAAACGATCAATTCGCAGCTAAATTCTTACTCTCAAATCGATACATCCGAGTAATAATTTTCTCGTAGCACACACTTTGACAAAAGTGTGTAGCGTATTACCATAGCTACTCGAACTATTTTGAACACCTTTGCTTTAACCAGGACATCCCTGACAGGTATAATCTCATTTTTGGTATAACTACATACACACGGTTGCCTAAGTAGGTACTGAGATTTTGTTAGCATTAGGCAAGTTTGGCTTTGAACTAATACAAGCATCGTTCAGGAGACAACAGACAGATGACACTGGCTATGATCTTTGACTCTCACCAGAAGTGTATATTTTTTATATTTTGTTTTATACAGCATCAGGATTTTACACAAAATGCACACACATTTCTATTCATATCCATGGAAAAAAAAAAAAAAAAAAAAAAAAAAAAAAAAATGTTTAACTTTATTCCCATCTCGTCGGTATAAGAATAAATCGCGAGGATGCTTTATTATGAAATCGGAAATTGGCGTCGATCTTCGGGCGAAGAGCGAGCGTTTCCAGAGTCGTAACTCAACGCTTGACGCGTGCCTACTACACACAAAGTCAGTCGTTCGTAAAGCCTGCCATTACAAGAGTAAGCTTTCAGATTCTCCTGCTCGATCGGATCTTCGTTTCGAGTTTGCGTTCTATGGAAGAATACTTTTACTGTTTACGTTTACGCTTACGTTCGGCTCACCCACACATGCACACACACTCACCCTCGCGCTCTCTCTCTCTCTCTCTCTCTCTCTCTCTCTCTCTCTCTCTCTCTCTCTCTCATCTCGCTTGACGCTCAATCATGATTCGGGATCTCGAAGACGCTGATACTTATAATTCGTATAAAACGGAGGGAATTTAGGGACTCGAGTAGAGTGGTGGTGGAGTAAGATGCAGAAGGCGACTTTCATTAAATAGTTAAAAAATATAAAGTCGTGCTTTCGAACATTGACAATATTATAGTATTATAGAATATATCGTTATACATATATAGAAAACTGTTCGTACTTATAGAAAAGTTAACTTCCACGGGATCGCTTGGTAGACACGCGAGAAAGGGGTTAGCTCGTATTCTTCCCTCCTATAGATTCCTATCTCCTTTTCCCTCCAGCCCCTCTTTCATTCCTTTCTGTGCGATACACGAGTATCCAATAGGCTACATTCTGAGTCTTATAGATTTAATGAGATACGTAGATTGTATAAAGGGAATTACTTGGATAGGGTTGCGCACATGTGCCATGCGTCCCTTGATCCTCTGTAAAATGATTGAGTAAGTCGCTTATCCAGACAACATGCATCTTATAGCATCTATTCGCGTGAACAGTAGTCTGCTAAAACACTGACGGGTCTACAGTAATTTATTACTGTCTACGTTCTAGCATCATCATCATCATCATCGAGTAATTCAAATGACAACAGGACGTTCCGATTAAGAATGAAGAATGAAGAATGAAGAACGAAGAATGAAGAAGAAAGATGAAAGAAGCAGAATAAGTTCCGCGAATATACTATAAATACAATAAGTACAATAGACGGGATTTATACGACGGCAACGCGGTAATTCACAGCAGCAATACCGAGAAACCCGGTTTAGTACACGTAATGACTAACAATAAGCGATAGTTGACCTTTTCGGTCGATCGAGTTGAAATCCCAAGATCTATTTGACAAACGCAACGATCAACACTCAACACGTATTGGACACATCACATTGATTTCGAATGACGTAATGACCTATGTCTTATTCGCAAGATACCATCGCTTATGACTTAAATGACACACTGACTCCAAAATTAGAGAGATTCCCTTAGGCTGCCCTTTTTCCCCTTTGCTCGTAGAATTGACGTTTCCAAAAGTTGCAGACAGAGTTTTTAAAGACTTCCACTCTCGTGCGAGTGCTGACCCCATAGATTCAAAGCTTTAAATTCCCTTGCAGACTACCAATTTATTTCGAGCTCTCCAATTCCAATTTTTATCTTACTGTCCCAATGAGAATTGGCTGCTTATTGCCTTTTGCTTCGGAATACGCAAAACTGCAGGATGTCTTGCACTTTGCACCTCTAACGTTTTATTTTATTTTATTTTATTTTTTTCCGATAAGGGATTTACGCTATTTATCTCTATTTACGTCTAGTGGTGTTCCGTCGCCAATGTTTTGGGTCCCGAATGTTTATTGTTTTCCAATCTTTGAATTTTCCTCCGTCCACCCCAAAAATATAGCAAAATTAGATACTTATGTTTTACTGTCTCTCCGTGACTTTTTCAAGCTTACGTACTAATTCTCTAAGCCACATCTGACGTGTTTTTTCCATATCTTCTTCTTACCGTCACCCAGGAATTCGCACTGGGCTCGACGCATCAGGTTTCAGAAAGAAGTAATGCAGCCTTGCACTCCCACTTATACTCTCCTCGGGAGAGATTGTCAGTTAGCTAATAAAAGAACGTTTGGAGTCCTACCCCTGTGAATACGTTTGTCCCAGCGTCAATCCACCGTTAGACTCTCATGTTACATATTATAATTTAATATCGCATGCGTACTACACAAGACGCCTGGGGGGCGGGAGTGGTCGCGCGAGTAATTCGCTTTGCCAGCCGAACGGGGTCGACTTGTCTTTCCGAATTAGTAGAGTCAAGAAAGTCCAAAGAAAGAAGCTCCTGCGCATCGCTCTTTTATCGTCGCGCGACCATTCGAGATATTCGATTGTCACACACTTAGAATGCTTATACACAACACAGAGATATGTAGGGAAGAGGCTGTTGCTTGGATCTCACGAACACACCGTTGTTGTATTAGCAATAAAGGCTGAGACTAACGTAAATTGATCGTAGTATGTAATTGTGTATAGGAGTGTGCCAGTTGGTCTGAAGTCGGCCAGTGTACGGGCCTAGGAAGCTACGGGGCTGCGTCTCCTCAGGATTATCCTCTTTTGTAATCCGATGTCATTTCGAATCTTGTTGATTACGCCTTACGGCTAAACGTAAGGCGTCGGTTAATCGATTACGATTCACAACTCACGCACACGTAGACACGTAGAGACTCTTTCCTTTCTTCTGCCCGCCACCCCGTAATCGCTACTTCACTCCTGCACGCGTTTACATACCGATATTTATACAAATCCTTACACGATAGAGTTTCTTACGCTAGATTCGTGTATATTACTGGCTAGCTGGTAAATAGTAAAAGATGTCTCTAGTAGATCGATTGTCAGAGTAGATATAGTAGTCATAGGATAATCGAGAGACGAGGGCCTCAGGATGAAAAGTAGCTCAGACAACTTTTTCGTAGAAAATAGATATCCCTATAAAGTGTATGAACAAAGCAGCGACAGTGCGTTGTCTATATTTCGAGTTTCCGATTTAAACTTTTATAACACACGGAATTGTTGGCTTCGCTGGCGACAATTCGCTACTGTTTCTCGCCTTCGCGATACGAGATTTCAAGGATTAATGCGATTTACTATCTATTAAATTAGGCCTCCGTTTGAGTCTTTTGGGAACCGCATTGGATCTTTAACTCGGTTCCCCAGTTCCCCAGTTCCCCAGTTCCCCAGTTCCCCAATTCCCATTAGTACCGACATTCTCTTTGATAGCTCATTCTTATCGGTACATGTTTTCACCGTTATTCTACCAACATTTTACAACAGTTACAATGAATAAGACTAGCAGAATTTTCTACACGAGGAGCATTCAATGTCCAGTTGCCAGAACGGGCATTCATTGCGAGAAATACCAGACAAAGATAAATCAATGATACTGATAAATATGTCCGCCTGTGTGTTTTGGGTAAGCGCAAGTTCAGTCATTCTCCAGTGAAATGGGTTGGCCTGCTGGGAAATTGGATAAATTCATTTGTTTCGTACACTTGAAATTCTAAATAGGCCATTCTTGAAACAGCTCAAGTGACGGTGCCATTGACACAAGAAGCACCAATACATTTTGGTAATTACACATTGCGTCAGATAATGAGCGTGATACATCGATCATTATCTACTTCATTTTTTTTTCAAACTCGGAAAATTAATTTACATTCTTCTTTACTGCAAGTAAGTCTCTAGGGCTTTAGATATAACCTAACCTAACCTAACCTAACCTATTATATTCCATTCCAATCTTGTCAAGGATTGATCTTCATAATTTTTTTTTTGTTTTTCGTGATAGCTATAAATGTCGCAATTGGAAAGATTATCGCGGTCATTCTAGCTCTTCGTCATGTGTTGGCTACATTCTCGTCTCGACCAGCGAGATCACGCGACCAGTAAATCGTCTGTCTCGTCCACTGCTCATCCAATTTCCCACCAGCATTTTAAACGTGTGTAACTATTGACCTCTCGATACCAAAAAGTATTGAATTTCATATTACTTTGCATCAAGTGAAGTAATTGTAATGCTCAATAGTTGGTTCGCCTGTTCTTCATTGATTCGAGGATTATTAGGCGTATACATTGGACACGAAGAGTGAGAGCGAGGAGTGACGCTTCACGATAAGAAAAATGGACCCTCGGCATAATTTCGATGGGAGATGATAGATGCCAGCGTGCCTCTTTAAACGTGAAATACAAAATAACGCGCAGGTACGGCATTATTGCTAACGTAGTCTACGTGTCTATTGATGCTCGGTGTCATTTTGTATTGCTTGAAATGAACTTTTTAGCTCAGAGTAACTCTGTTCGGTTAGTTCTTTTATGCTGTGTTACGTTACACTTGGCTTCTATGTCTCGATTTTAAATGTCCATTCTCACTAGTAATTAATGACAAAGGCTCGACTCGAAGAATCGAACTAACAATAAGTTAAGGTTCGATATAGTCGTAGGTAATGGTCGAGAGAAGGGAATGTGCCGCGAGTGACCTCCAGCGAGGAGCCTCTTGGCGGTTGGCGAAGCAGCCTTTACCAACAGGACCAACAGGACCAACAGGACCAACAGGACCAACAAGACCATCTTCTGTCTGATTGTCAATTTTTCATAATTGCATTTGTCGATAATACTTAGGACGATATTTTGTAAGGCCGTCAGTCAGGACTTGCCTTCCATGTGTGATTGTCAGTGCGTCGAGTGACATTAAATTTAATTGATGGGGGTCATTCCCTGTTCGCCCGTTGACCATATAAGGCAAGGAAATGGAGTAGGGATACGACCTGTCCCCTTCCTATCAGGAAATTATCTTTACGATGGACTCTCCCTCGTCTTTGAGAAGAAGACTCAAGCGAAGGTCGAGTTCTCCAGCTTCGAGGGCCCATTTTTCTCGCAACCATCAGGGGGAATCGGCTGAGTTCTGGGTGCCGAGGGTGTGGATAGGAAAGAGAGGATACCAGCCGACGGTCAGTCGCGTTAAAGGAAGTAGGTCGAGGTTTACTTCGGCCCCGCCAAGACCTTGGTTGCTTCCAAATCCAATGTTTCGTTCCCAGAGCATTACCAGAAGATTTCGTCCGAGGGCATCGCAGCTTCCATATTTGAGGGTCTGCCGATATTGAGGCTCCCGGGAGTGACGCACCACGCGTGTCTTTCTCTTTTGTAGCCAACGTTCACCATCGCGCAGATATGTCTTTACGTAAGTATCTGCATGGGAAAAGTCAAATTTATAATCTTCCTCCCTATTGTTTTCCTCGCTTCCAATGTCATCGTAATGTATCGCACAATCTGCAATCGAATTGAAAGGCGGGCTCATCTTACCTGGCTCCGCTCGTTCCCGCGGACATATCCCGCGCGCCGAGATCACTTCTACATCGAGAGTCCCCTTGCTGAGAAAGAGACCTAGCTTGACCTGGCCATTTTGCACTCCTGTAAAAAGGGATAACGAAAGGCAGTTTAAAGGGTGACGCGCGGCGACGTGCAGGCGTGCGTGTGTCGAGGGATCGGGAGATTTACGCTCCGCGATCTACGAGCGTTCTCTCGACAATTCTTTCCCGTTAGCATTACCGCTTATCGGCTTCAGTCCTTTTGGTGCGACTTGACCTGGTCCAAGCTTCATGTCCATTGCTTCCTCTCCCTTCGTCCACTGACTGCCCATATCGATATTAGACGCATTATTTCTTGTTTATTGTCCTCCTCGAGCTCTCACGATTTCACAACTCCCAATCTTCTTGACTTACCTCCACTTTTCTTCCATCTCGGACTCGCTATTTCGGTCTGGCAACTTTTCTGGTATGTCCATAACACTGTCCTTGCGCTCACCCCGCCGCCCTACGAATCATTCAAAAGAAAAATCTTAATCAGTCTAAGCGGCATCCAGTAACTTCTTCTTCGTCGTTCTCTCCCGCCTAATCGTCTCTGCCTCAATCATCTTTTAACTCGCTGATACAGCCAATAGTGATCAACAGCGAACTCAATACGTAGAAGGTGATACGGCGTAGGTGCTCCATTTCATACTAGGGACAAACACGCATGTCCAACACGAATCAAAACTGGCACATCTGCTATTTGCTAGCTGCCCCAACCCCATTTCAAACACACTCTCGCTCTCCCACTTTTAATGAATATTTATTATTGGTACTGTTTATCCTAGCCGATACAATACATCCACCTGCGTATAAACTAAATTGTGCCGGGCCAATTTGATTATAGTATCGTGTAGCACAATCATAAAACAGGCTACCTTAGCTATTAAGAATCAAATATACATACAAGTATAACGTACCTCTATATCTAATCAATATTGTCAAATTATAGAACTTCAATAAAAATTCTAATTCTAACTCGCACGTACTTTTTCTCTCTCTCTCTCACACACACACGCATTC